TGAAAAAAGAATGTATTTAAAAGTTGTTAATTAAACTGCTAAGCAAATAAGCTACTAAGAAACACCACTGTGTTTGAGCAGGAACAGGAAGCGATACTATACCACAGAGCGAGTGAACACCAAGTGACCTTGTCACTGGTTGTCTGTGTCTATGTATTGTCCCTGTGACAGAATGACACCTGTCCATAAGACACCTTGGATAGGATCCAGCTAGGGCTGGGTATAGTCACTGATTTCTAGAATTGATTCGATTCGATTTGATTCAATTCGATTTGTATCTGGGAATTTTTTGCCTCAGACAGTGTTGCGAAATCAGTTTCACCAAACACAGTTTTGTAGAAGCGACCCCATCATGAAACCCCTAAGGTATGCTGGAGACTGTGTTTGTGTGCGTATGCACGAGCACGTGAGTGCTTGTGTGTGCGCGTACCCGTGTGTGTGTGTCTCTGTGTATGTGACTTCCTGCCGTTCATAAAAGTAATCTCCTCACCCAAGCTACATCAAATTCCTCTACAGAACATAGAAAACAGAGTTAAAATATTACAAACACTGAACAAACCCCCACTCTGCATCCTCTGGGTCATTGGCCTCTTGCTGTCTTACATTTACATTTAAGGTGGAGAGTCTCCTGCAAACCTACTTCTAAGTTATAACAATTATGAGTTTTTATTAAAGGTACAAGCATCAGCATCAGCAACCCCCAACTGTAGCTTCCTGTCTCCTTTTATGACAGCATACCCCCAGTGTCAATAAATTCCTTTCTCTCTAAACAATTACACACACTCTCAGGCCTACAGCTAAGCAGAAATTGGGTTTTCTTTTCGAAAATAAGTAAAAGGAAAAAAAAAACAACGGCAGTCTTGTACTTAACAGTACTTACCACGATAAAATCACACTTCATGCACACTTCTCATTCTCTCTCTCTCTCTCTCACACACACACACACACAGAGTATACTTCAAGAACAGTTTCCCATCTAAAATCTGCATTATTCATTTGTTTATTATGCATAGTCTACTGGCTTCTGAACAAATGTAAACTATTTTTTAAAATTAAGCAAATTTGCAAAATGCTCAACTGTGTCTCTTATAAAACTTAACTAACTTAACTTTGCTCTGCTTCACTTCAGCAGCATCAGGTAATATTCATATGTTGATTAATGGTTTTCCTTCATTTTTGATCTACTGCATAATATTTTTTTTATAAAATCTCAGGCCAGGAAAATCACCTTAATGTTTTCCTGTGTTTTATTCTTAGTTACTTTGACACAAAGGCATCTGCTGTGATTCTTACACCTTTGATAAAGTCTCGCAAGTGTCAGCTTTCTTTTTATAGATATAAAAATTTGGAAATATATGCATGATCTGAACAAGAAGTTGTTCGGACATGAAGAGAATATTGCGAAAGGCCCACTCAAAGCCAAGTGCATAGCAACCATAACAATGTATGTATTTGTATCTAAAAAATCACAAAGATGAAACTGAAAACTTAAAGAGGGATAGGATGAAAATGGTAACAGATATGAAAAATCTGAATTATACATGAATAGCCCAATACTTTGAGAACATTTTAAAGTTTGAATGGTTGTTCTGTCTATGTCTGCATTTAAATCCAAACCCTGAATAAGCCTAGTCGCCCATGACAAGCTCAACTAATAGCAAAGTAATTATGCTTTGTTATCCTTGTGTGAAGCACTTTGTGATCTTGTATCTAGAAAGTACTATATAAAAAATGTTACTTATAAGATTAAAAAATAATAATTTGCAGAACCCCTTGTGGGCATACATGACTTTATATGATGGAAGTATATCAAACTCAACCAAATGAAAAACCACAGTTAAAATTTTATAATTTTCCAGAAATCACTAAGACACAGTGACACAGCACACTGTCAGGCTGTGAGATTAAATATTTTCAGTAAACGTGAGAGTGGAAACATCAATATGTTGCTGTTTTCATGTTATCTATAAACAAGATGAAAATGAAAGTAACCTGTGATCAAGGGGAATTCCCAGAAGTCACAAGTCACAAGACTTTAAAACTGTAGATAGGTTCACATTCTGGCATTGGGTGGCAGGCTTTGTCCAGCAAAGGTAGGTTAATTTTAATCCAAAGCAAAAATGAAATTGTTTATGTAAACTTTGAATTAAATAGAGTAAATACTTTGTGTTTTAGTTATGGGTTCTTCGTCTTCAAAAACAGCAGCTCCATCTCAACGTAAGTTTATTCAAAAGCTATAATCATACGAGTTGTCATCCAATAAAAAAATGCACTATACATTGATGATATTTTCTCATTAAATTGTTTCATGTCAGTTCTTGAAAACCCATGGAGGCAAATTAACTATGGGTGAGTGAAGCTCACAGAAAAAAATACATTTGAATTATTTGTTTAGTTGTTCCATGTTAATTATTTTTTTTCCATCTAAGGTGTGAGATAATGTAATATTTCCTTTCCTGAGCAGAGAAAACCCAACTGATCAGCATTTTGTGGAGAACTACAAACCTCGGGCTGAAGAACAAAATCTTAGGATCCTCCTTCATGGTCCAGTTGGAGCTGGAAAATCTAGTTTCATCAATTCTGTAAACAGTGTCTTACAAAAGAGAATACGTTGTGATGCTTTGGTGGCTAACTCTTGTGACTGTTTCACCAAAAAGGTATGGACAGAGTACAACTATGCCAATAACAGTTAATATGTGACTCACTAAATAACTTGTAGGCAGAGCAGTGATCTGGCTTTATCCATGAATGTGCAAGTTGGTGAAGGCTTTTATCTATCTTTTACTGTCATGTACAGTGGGGCAAAAAAGTATTTAGTCAGCCACCAATTGTGCAAGTTCCCCCACTTAAAATGATGACAGAGGTCAGTAATTTGCACCAGAGGTACACTTCAACTGTGAGAGACAGAA